AGTCATATTGGTTAAACTCACATCCAAGTCAAAATCCTGAAACAAAGAAGAAGACTGACATGAGGTATAAGTCCGAGTGGAAATGTGGCACAACCGCCACCACTGATGTGTGATGATACACGCAGCCCAGCTTCTATGACACATCCCCCAACACAAGGACACTGTGACTTTCATTCTTTTGCTGAGGACCTTCAGGGTCTAGAGGAGGAGGGGTTCTGCTGCAGAGTGCACGGCCCTTCCCGTTCGTCCCCATCCCCCGGTTCAGCTCCTGTGACACAGCTCGAGTGTGCAAGCTGCACATCCACGGCCCCCTGCCGCACCCAGCTACTGGCACAGAAGCCGGCGACACTCGTAGCCTCATGGCCCTTTCAGGCTAATGGAGGAGACAGGCCACGAACAAGCAAACAGATATCTATTTTTTAAAAAATCAAAAAATAAATAAATAAATAAATAAATAATAAATAAATAAAATAAAATAAAATAAAATAAAATAAAATAAAAAGCAACAAATCCACAGAGAGAGAACACAGATCTGCGGTCGCCAAGGGCCAAGGGGGGTGGGATGGGGAGCGAGTGCTTCCTGGGTAAGAGGTTTCCTTTCTGGGCTGAAAATGTTCTGGAACTAGATGGTGGCTGTGGTTGCACAACATTTTTTTGCAAAGATTTTTTTTTTTTTAATTTAAGAGAGAGGGTGCAAGTGCAACCCAGGGGAGGGGCAGAGGGAGAAGGAGAATCTGAAGCAGAGTGGAGCTGAGTTCGAGCCCCCAGAGCCCGGGCGGGGCTCATCCCACGACCCCGAGATGGTGACCAGACACGTAACTGGCTGAACCCGGACGCCCCCTATACAACATTTTGGGTGTGCTGTCACTGAAACGAGCACTTTAAAATGGTTAAAATGGGAAATCTTTTGTTGTGTTAGAAACATACTGGTAGCCGTGGTAGGTTGTGGAAAGCAAGCTCGCCAGGGGTGGTAAGAGAAGGACGGGGTGCAGAGCGGGTGGTCAGGGAAGAACTGAGCCCCGTGAGGATGTGGGGGAGAGCACTCCCCACAGAGGGTCACCCCGGGGTGGAGAGTGGGGAGGACAGGGCACGGGCCAGCAAGAGGCATCCTATGTCCTCCGAGAACAGGGGGCGCCATGCAGGTCTGGACATGAGTGAGCTCATCGGTGTCACGAAGGTTCTTTGGCTGCCGGGTGGAGAAAGGGTTGCAGAGGGTGAACGCGGGGCAGGGGACCAGGGCTGTGCCGGGGATGGGTGCAGGGAGCGGGGTTCCCGGCAGGGCTGGGGCTCTGGGTCAGCAGTGCCCAGCCGGAGGGGGGCCCTGGGCTAGGAGGCCCTGGACAGTTCTCCGGGCACAGAGAGAGGCAGACCGGGGCAAGGAGCGGGTCTGGGGGCTGTCACTGGGGTGTGGGCCAGGCCCCCTGGTGGTGCCGAAGCTTGGCCAGATGTGCAGCCCGAGTGGCTTGATCCTGAGACACGGACACGATGCTATGGGACCGCTCTGGTGACGCCCGGGCCAAGCCAACAGAGCGAGGTGGGCCTGGGATGGGCGGGCTGCAGGGGAGGGGGGCGGAGGGGCCTGAGCCTGGCAGTGTGTGGGAGCCACAAAGAGGTGGGGGGAGCCCAGCCCTGAGCCAGCTTGTGGGCGACAAGAGTGAGTGTCAGGCGGCAGGATCAGCCAGGGGGCGGCTGGGGAACACGACGGGCTCCGGGCCCAAGACGTCCAGCCGGAACATGTGGTCACAGAGGAACCAGTCAACACTGACAGGCACTGTGGGTCAGGCAAAAAGGACAGGTCGGTGTGGACACGTGTGCCCCGAGTCCTGTCCCAGGCTACCCCTAGGCCCACCCCGGAGAGACAGGGCCCACCGAGCAGGCCCAGAGCAGCCGGCGCTTGTGAGGCTCCTGGCATTGGTGCGGGTTTTCGGGGGGAAGGGACACTTGCCAGAGGGAGAGGATGCAGAGGTCCTGGCAACGTTGGAGGGGCTTGGCCTGAATTGAGCAGGACCACAGTTTGGAGCTTTGTACCCACAGTCTCAACGAGCCCCGTCAGACATCGAATCTTGTCAGAAATGTGACAAAAAGGCCAATGTGATGACGGTAGATGGGGAAACAAAGCTGAGGGTCTGTGTCTTCCACAGCAGGGAAGATTCTCACCTAGGCATAAGGTGAAAACAAAAAAGACGTGCCTGTTGGGCCAGGGGAGTGATGTGTGCCCAGCCATGAGCTCAGCTTTCCCCCAGCTCGTTTCCCTGCAGACCCCACTGGCGGGTCCAAGATCAGTAAAGCCCTCAAGGTTCTGTACCCCCGTGTCCCCAGGGTTTACTGCCAGGAATGCCTGGAGAACAGAAAAGTTCTCAGGGACAGGGCACAGCCTACAGGAGCCTTGGGGACAGCAAGGGCCGGTCTGCTAGGAGCTGGGAGGTGCCCCCGGAAAAGAGACAGCAGGACAGAGGCCTTAGGGGACAAGACAGGACTGGGGCCAAGCATCCCCGCGGGCTCATGAGGACCAAGTAAGTCGCGCGGGGAGCCCAAGGGGCTGGCACACAGCTCGGCAAAGCACAGCAGGGGTTTCCTTCCGGACACACAGGGGAATGGGGTGGTGGCGGTGCAGGCCAGGAGGAGAAAGGATGCAGCCCGTGGGGGAGGTCCCCACCCACTCCTGCCCTGAGCCACCGCACGGCTGCACTCCCATGTCCCCGTGACCTGTCCACCCATGGCCGCAAGGGCCAAAGCTCTGTTCAGTTCACCAAAGTCAGCGCTTCGGGATGTTGCATAAGGGAAGGGGTAAGGGAAGAAGGGAACGGGTGAATGCATGCTCAGATCATCTGTGGAATTAGAGTCCGAGCTCAGAAGTGAACGAATGGAAAATCCTCACTCCCCAGCCCCACGGTCAAAGCCACGGGATGTGCTTCCCGACTCCACCTCTTAGCACGTAGGTGCCTTGGGGTGGATTGAGTCACTTCGTGAGCCTCGGCTTCCCCAGCAGAAACGGGGTCGCAGCACACTGTGCGTGCGTCCCAGACCTTGCTGAGGCCTGGCCAGCCGCCCCCCCCCCCCCAGGGCTTCCCCGCCATCCACCCAGACACTTCCGCAGCCGGGCCTGAAGCAAAGAGCTGAGGCTTGAACGAGATGCCGACCTGGAGACACACACACACACTCCCCCGTGTGTTTCCCTCTCCTCTCCATTCTTTATAAATCAGAAAATTAATCACGCAGAAAAGACTCTGCTGCACCAGAAACCCAAATGAGTTTAATGTATAATTTACACATGAAAATGTAGATGTCAATGTGTGACAAATTGCCATAAAAATGTTTTTGCAGTTAAATTTTTAGGCATCTGTCTTCGTCTCAGAAGAGCCACCGTACAGACGGCGTGAGGCTCCAGGGCTCGGGCCGGGTGGGGCTGCAAGCAGCCTGTCATTCTCGTGAGCTGGTGATGCAGCTGCCAGCATAGCCTGGCCCCGAAGGCCCGGCCCAGCCCGGCCCCAGCCATGCGCTGCCAAGCCAGAGCTGTCCCCCTCGGGGTCCTGCTGTGTGTCTCAGCCAAAACACAGATGTACCCGTAAACCAGCTGTGCGCTGGGCCAAAGGATAGAAGACAGAATGGAGTGTGGCCTCACACCCCCGTGGCTTTGAGGCCCCTGGGAGGGCCAGGCAAGCAGATGATGATAAGTGACAGGGTGGCAAGCACTTAGGGCAGGAGTGGGCACTACATGCCAAGCACCTGCCAAGATGCAAGTTCGTCCCTGCTCCAGGAGCATCCCCCAAAGGCTCCAGGGGGCAGGGACTAGTCCTGGAGGTGCTTGTCAGGAGGGTGAAGTGGGGGACATTCCCGACAGGAAAAAGCACTCGTGCTCAGGCAGAGGCTAAACAGAGCAAGCCTGTCCCGATGCGTGGGAGCGTGGCCTGCTGCACGCTGCTGGGTCGCCAAGGGGTCTGCACGCCCAGCAAGATATAGGATTTTGTTCTGGATTGAAAACTTCCAACAGGCCAAGTCTACACTCCACTCTGCTAAACTGTGGAGAGGCCAAGAGGAGGTGTTGGGGACAGTGACGAGGAGAGACGAGGAGACGGTCCTCCCTACTGTAAAGGGCCGCATGCACGTAAGGTGCCATCCCCCGCAGGACCCCGAGTCCTCTACCAGGTCCTGACTCCTGCAGGGGTATTTTCATCCCGGGTGCACCAGCCCGCGGGCTCAGGACTGCATATAAACCACCCAAAACGGGCAGCCCTGGTTGCCCAGTGGTTTGGCACTGCCTTCGGCCCGGGGTGTGGTCCTGGAGACCCGGGATTGAGTCTCCCGTTGGGCTTCCTGTGTGGAGCCTGCTTCTCCCTCTGCCTGCGTCTCTGCCCACCCCCCTCTCTCTATGTCATAAATAAATTTTTTTAAAAAGAAAGTAAACCACCCAAAACGCAGGCTGGGCCCCTGCTTCTCCTCTGCACCTGCTACTGCCCTTTGGGGCGGGTCATTGTCTGCACAGGACATTCCCCGACAGCCTCTCGCCAGACGCCCAGGGAGGCTCCAGGCACAGCCCCAAGCTTCCTCTCACACGCAGATAGCGGGGAGCGGCCGGGGGCCTGGGCCTGCCCTAGCTGGGAACCACGGTGCTGGCGCGCACAAGGCGGGCAGGAAGGGCACGTCCTCGTTGCACCCTGCCCTCCTTGGTGGAACCACTGGCGAAGGTCAAGAATACGCCCTCTCCCTCTGCGAGTGATCATCGCCTGTGTCCGAGCCCGAGCTGAGATCCCACTGGTGACTTCCCCGGAACTTGGGCCTCCCACGACGGGACAAAGCCCCCCTTCCCCAATCCCATCAGGAGCTCCCTCTGCAGCCTTGGAGCCTCACAGACCTGGGGTCAAAACACAGAGGCCGGGCTAGCGTGCCAGACACTCACAGAACAAGGGTTTGAGCCCCCAGCCCTCATCACACGGGTGCTCGTTTTAAAGAACACAGCCTGGTCCGCTTTCCTGGAGGCCTGGGGCCGACCCCTCGGTGACTCGCAGCCACATACCTCGCTTGACTTTCGGGGGCCTGAGGCCCTCCGCCTGGGCCAGGGCCTCCCACGCCTCGCGCTCCCTCCAGCGCCTCAGCTGCTCCTCTCGCATTTTGTAGAAGAGGATGTGCTTCTGCACATCGCTGAGCTCGGCCAGGAGTTCGGGGTCGATGTACATGTCATGAAGGATCTGCTGCAGCATGATGTCCCCCGGAGTGCACCGCCCAGGGCAGCCAGCCAGGGAAGCCCTGCCAGGTGGGACACCCCAGGCCACTCCTCACCCCCGGCTCGTCACTGCAGGACCACTCGGGGAGCCCCTTCTCTGTGTCGCATTGTCACTCTCCCTCAGCTCCCAGCCAGGGACAGACTCATCTCCCCTGCCCGGGAAGCAACGGGGGCCAGGGAGCAGGAAGCCAATTGGCAGCCGGGACCCTGCCAGGGATGGGGGGCAGGCATCGGGAGCAATCTAGTCCTCCTGTCGGGTCACCAGGAGCCACATCCCAGCAGCGCCCGTGTCTTGGCCTCCCCTGGGGTTCAGGGCCAACGGGGAGGGTCAGAGCCTCCAGCTCTGCAGGGCAGTGTCCGGACCCGGCCCTGCCTGAGCCGACAGGTGTTGAGTGATCCGTTAGTGGAAGGTAACAATGACACCAGCTGTATCGATGACACTGCCCGGGGCCAGCCAGGAACTGATCTCTCCTCCACGGGTAAGAGGAGGCGGTGGCGGGTCCTAATTCGGTACTAATTCCGTGACTTTTGAGCCAACTTCAAACAGGCCAGAGGAGCCAGCCAGGAGTTTCTAGGCTCCTCAGCCTCTCCTCTACCTGCTTCCCCTGGCCAACCTTCTTTTCCAGGACGTTTGGCATCCTGGGGTAATGCTTTTAAAACGCTGCCCTCCCACTGGGTTGGAGCTCAGAAAGGTAAGGAAAGACAGTCAGTAGGTAGGGATGAGGAAGGGGCTTTACCAGGGAATTCAAGGACACAGAGGGGCCCCACGTCATCTCTCCTTTCCCTAGAACGAGGTCCTAAAGCCCTGCCTGTGCTGACAGATTAACCCTCCAGGGGTCGATTTGGGTGGTTGCCTTGATCTTCATGTTGTTGCTTGCAGGTGCCTGGAGATCACCAAACAGAAGGCTGTTTCTCGGGCGCCCTGAATCTGAAGCACCTGGGACAAGGCAGGATGTTGCCTTCAGGTGGGTTAGGACTGGGCCTAAGAGGTGCTCCCAGCTACTCCCAGATGCCCCCTGTATTCCAATAAAGCCACTGGGCTCCAGAAGGTAAGCAACCTGCCTACGGCTACCCCAACCCCTAAGCTGCCACCTTGGGACTCTACCCAGTATTCGAATTTGACATGGGCAACTGTGAATCTTCCGATGGCTTAAATATGTAACCCGACCAGGAGAGGACCACCCAACAGGGTCTGGCAGTGTGGCCTGGTAGGATTGGCGATCTTCGGGGCCCCTTCCCTTCCCATGAGGGACAAAGGTGGATCAGACACCCAAGGGTGATGGAACACAAGTGTGATGGGGTGCCCTTCTCTCGCTGCTAGGTCAACACACAGCAGGAGAATAAGGAGGCTGTTGGGATGCGCTTCAAGCTGCAGGGTCAAATGCAAGCGTGGAGGGCCAGGGTGTGGTTGGCTAGCTGCAGGGTGACCTCGATCTTGCAGCGTCCCCACTCGGCCCTGTCCCCTGTCCTCCCAACCCCGGCTGGGCCCGCCTCGGGCCCAGCCCCATGCATCCTAACTGTGTCTGGGCGGGAGAACTGAGGCCAGAGCAGAGACAATGGGCACAGGCCATGGACGGGAGCCCAGCCTCCAGCTGGCAGCCTCCTTCTTTCTTTGGAGGTTGGAGGTGCAGCCAGATGCCTGCAGCAAGACGGGGGTTGAGAGTACAGAGAGCAGGGCCCGGAGAGCAGGACGTGGAGGGCAAGGTGCGGGGAGCAGGGTGCGGGGAGCAGGACGTGGAGAGCAGGGCCCAGAGGGCAGGGTGCAGAGAGCAGGGCAGGGCAGGGCTGGGAGGGCTGGGTCTGGAGAGCAGGGCCCGGAGGGCAGGGCATGAAGAGCAGGGTCCAGCAGCGTCTAGAGGCAGGGCGCGGGGGGCAGGGCGCGGAGGGCAGGATGCGGAGAGCAGGGCGCGGAGGGCAGGATGCGGAGAGCAGGGTCCAGAGAGCAGGGTCCAGAGAGCAGGGTCCGGAGAGCAGGGCCAGGAGGGCAGGACGCAGAGGGCAGGGCGCGCTGGGCAGGGCGCGCAGGGCAGGGCCTGGGAAGCAGGACCCCGGGGGAGCAGGTGGCAGGTCCGCCTCCGTCGGGCAGGCCTGGGCCCCTTGCGGGGACCCCTGCGACCACCCTGCGGGGGGCAGGCAGAGGCAGCGACCCCATAGCACCCGTTGCGAGCCGCGGGGGGCACGGTGCTCGGGGGCCACCCCAGGCCGAGCGCAGCCCCGCGGGGAGGGAGGCCCTGGAGCCGGGCCCTCTCCGCCCTGGGTCCTGCGGGGGAGGCCGCTCCGCCCGGCCTGGGGCGCCTCCTGGAGGAGCCGGATGCCGCCTGCAGGGAGCCCGGGGACCAGGCGCCCCCCTGGGACAGGTGGCCGCTGAGGCCACGACCCCAGGGGCAAGTGCCGCGCAGACGATGGAGCACGGGTGACCAGAAAGGAGGGGCAGGTCCCCGGCCGCCCCGGCCATGGGATTTAATCTGCACCCTAATGCAATTGCTTGGGGGGGGGTGCATGCAAGCCTGGCTGTGCCAGGGGCTGGAGACCCCCAAGGGGTCCGCACGCTGGGGGCGGCTCAGGACCCAACCCTACACCTGCCACAAAGGACGGGCTGAGCTGTGCGGTGGGCAAGCGAAGATGCCCACAGCAGAGAAAAGGAAAAGGGGACTCCCCAATGACTGTGCCCAGGGTAATAATCCAGTATTTGAATTTGTACATGATGACTTGTGTGTAGACAAAGGAACACACGCACGGCTTCTTGCTTTCTGCTGGCGACGGGAAGGGAGGCCACCATAGGCAGTTCTGTACTGTGTTATACCATAAGGCATAGGACACTTAGGACCGACACCAAACAGATTTCAAGAGTCCTAAAGTGTGATTCCAAAAAATTGGCCTCCACGCCCACACCAGGGAGGGAGGAAGGGGCAGGCACAGCACCTAGAGGTTGGAGTGTCGGGATGGATGGGCCTCTCTGCTCAGGTCATCAGAGGTTCCTAGACCAGAAAAGGGCTTGGAGGCACTTCTCAGCTCTGGCCCTGGGAGGAAGAGGAGGCCAGAAGAGCAGAGGCAGGGAGGAAAGTCGGCAGGTTTCGGCCAGTCGGCCAGTCGAGAAGGTATGAGCACTGTGTAGGGGAGCTGGGGAGCTGCCAGTGGGGACCAAGGCAGCAGACTTGGGAGATATTTCTTATCCCAGGTTCTCTCTGCAGCTACTTAAAATCCTTTTAAAACGTAGATCGTGGCATTCTCTGCTCAAAACCTTGCAACGGCTCCCATTTCCCTGAGTCAAAGCCCAAGTCCTCACAGGGGCCCATAAGGTCCTCCAGGATCTGCCTCTCTCCACCCCCTCCCCATAAGCCCTCCCAGCCCCCTCCTTCCCCCCAGGCCCCAGCCTGCTGGCCTCTTGGGCTTTCTGCAAGCACACCAGGCATGCTCCCTCCTCAGGGCCTTCTCGGAGCTGTTCCTTCTCACCGGTTCCAGAGCCTCCTTCAATTCTTTGCTCAAACTTTTAACTCCTCTGTACTCCTGAGCCTCTCTTATTCTGCTAGATTTTTTTTTCATTACTCTGTAAAATGCCATTTTCTTCTTTTGTGTTTCTCTCTCTCTCTCCCTATTAGACAGCACGCAGCGCTTCACTGATGTCCTCAGCGCCTGCCACACTGCTTAGCATGCACCAGGTACTAGACAAATATCTACTGGAAGAGAATGAACAAAGGAACTTTCAAGGTGGAATGGATTAGAGCCTGTAAAAATGCTAGAGGCATCCAGAACAGGAGTCTGAAGTGAGGTTGCTAGAGACTTGGACGTAGGCATCATGAGCAGCTATGAGCAGATAGTCTAAATCTCTGGGGCACTAGGTAGACTGACGCCCTGCCATAGGCCACCTGCCCTGGTTGCGCCCCCCCCTGCCGCCATGTCCTCACCACATGGTCCCTTGAAGGCAGAGCCCAGTGATGGCCAGAGAACCCCGTCATCGTGGCCTCGGGAAGCCTGGGCACAGCCACCATACAGGATCAGCGACAGGAAGTATCTCCTTATGTCCACTCACCTCCCCTGTCATAGTCCCGTGGGGAAGCTGCTCCCAAGAGCACACTTAGGATCACAGCTGGCCTCAGTTCTGCGACCCGTGGGCTCAGTAAAAGTCGAGAGTGGGTTCTGCATTGTCACCAATTAAGCTCCACTGAAAGATCATAGTGGTCCTAAGGAGTTCAGCTACCACTTAGAAAACACAGTGCGAACAAGATCCCATTCCCAGTAAAAACCAGATAGGAAATACTGGGAACAAATTCGGCAAAGTGGGGAAGCAGAATGCCTTTTATTCTCTAATCTCAAAAGTGACAGATTACCCATTCTAGCGTTTTCCTTTCGTGGCCCAGAGCAACCCTAACACACGTGGGACGGCTGCACAAGGTCACAGATACCAGGCAGCGGGGAGCCCTGAGGAGCCACGTTGGAGGCCAGCTAACACAGGTGAATTAGACATTTTATGGCATTAGATCTTTCTGACATGAATGTGGTATGTCCCTGTGCTTCCCCCCCCTTGGGTTCTCTCTCTCTCTCTTTCCTCACTTTGGGGAAGCCATGTGAGCCTCACCTGGTAGGGAGCCGATGTCTCCCGCCAGTAGTCACGTGACTGAGTGAGGTTGGCAGAGATGGTCAGGTGAGGCACTGCAGCTCAGGCATTCCTAGATTCCCAACCCTCAGGAAAGGTATCAGATATGTATGTGTTGTTTTCAGCTGTCAGGCTTTGGGGTGATTTGTTCTGCAGCAGTGCATAACTAACGCAATATCGAATTAGTCTGAACGCTTAATGCTATTTCAGGCCAAACCTAAAAATTGGTTGGGAAGTGGGGGAGAAGCTTGAGAAAATGATTGCCAAGTTAAAAAAAAAAAATGATTGCCAAGTTAGACCCAAAAAAACTGAATAGATGAGAACAGCCTAAAAAACACTGAGGCAGGGATCCCTGGGTGGCGCAGCGGTTTAGCGCCTGCCTT